TGCACACATGCACACACACCACACACACACATGCACAAAACACACAAACCACATACACCACAGTACACACGCACACCACACACATTACACACATACACAACAAACACACTATACACACCACACGTGCATGCATGCACACCACACACACACCACGCGTGCACACACAGTACACAACCCTACACTACACACACACCACACATGCAGACACACCACAAACATCACACACACCAGAGTACACACATCACATGCACCACACAACACAAACACTACATACACACTATACACACATGCATGCACACACACACGCACACAACACACACGCACACCACACACACAGACATGCACACATGCGCACGCGCACACACACACACACTGCAAGCAACATTTTAATCTATTTGAGTGTATTTCATCCCAGGAGTGATCAGTCCCATTCCCTGATTCAATCTAGTTAATTCGTTTTTTTCTCATGGTAATTCATGGAAACTGAGTTTCATATGTCTGGCAAGAGTACACACTATGTATTTTTTAAATTTTATTCATCCATTTCCACACTGCTACAAAGATACTACCTGAGACTGGGTAATTTATAAATAAAAGAGGTTTAATTGACTCACAGTTCAATTAACTGTTTCCTGGGAAGGCCTCAGGAAACTTACTATCATGGCGGAAGGTGAAGGAGAAGCAAGCACCTTTTTCACAAGGCAGCAGGAGAGAGAGAGACAGGAAGTAATACACTTTAAAACTATCAACTCTGGTGAGAACTCACTCACTATCGTGAGAACAGCATGCGGGAAAATGCCCCCATGATCCGATCACCTCCCACCAGGTCCTTCCCTTGACAAGTGGGGATTACAATTCAAGATGAGATTTGGGTAGGGACACAGAGCCAAACCATATCACTTATTTTTCTAGAACCCTGTAGTGCAGAGGTATCTAATCTTTGGTTTCCCTGGGTCACATTGGAAGAAGAAGAATTGTCTTGAGCCACACATAAAATATACTAACACCGATAATAGCTAATGAGCTAAAAATAAAAATCGCAAAAAAAAAATCTCATAATGTTTTAAGGAAGTTTACGAATTTGCATTGGGCTACATTGAAAGCCATCCTGGGTCCCATGTGGTCCATGGGCTGTGGGTTGGACAAGCTTGCTGTAGCCAATTGGGACGATGTACTCATAGCAGGTTTCATCCAATCATTGTATGAAAGCAGAGATATGCCATCCACAGCATAATTAGGGTTTGGTTGGAGATTTTTTTCTTCTTAAAGCCAGTTTTCAGGTTTCTTTTTTCTTTCTGTTTTCTTCACCATGAGCAAAGAATGTTCCATGTTTCCACGAGTGGAACTTCCATTTTACTTTACACATTTTGTTTATAGTCTTCCCCTGTCCCACCTCTCCAGCTTGTCATGTGGCACAGTCCTTTTCTGAACTCACACACTTCTCAGCCCTCCCAGACAATGGCAGTCATGAACATATGTGCCAACCACTTCTAGCCTGTTCTTGTTTCCTTCGAAGAATAAAGAGGACGTTCCATTTCCTGGCTCTTGGATTTTGTCAGCAGATAGAGCTTTACTGTAGTTTGGGCCGGGCACAGTGGCTCAGGCCTATAATCCCAGCACTTTGGGAGGCTGAGGCGGGTGGATCACGACGTCAGGAGTTCGAGGCCAACATGGTGAAATCCTGTCTCTACTAAAAATACAAAAATTAGCTGGACATCATGGTGGGCACCTGTAATCCCAGCTATTTGGGAGGTTGAGGCAGGAAAATCGCTTAAACCTGGGAGGTGGAGGTTGGAGTGAGCTGAGATCACACCACTGCACTCCAGTCTGGGCAGCAGAGGGAGACTCTGACACACACACACACACACACACACACACCCCCAGCTTTACTGTAGTTTGCAGTTGCATTAGATGTGTTGCCCTCTACCCAGTGTGCAGTGTGGCTTGGTATCACCCATGGAATGAGTCCCAAGAGCAATTCACCTGTATAACTTTTCTGGAAGGGTGTCAGCCTGGCAGCTTATGGGGACTCTGGGAATACCTTCCAGAGAGTCTTGCGCTGGGGATATCTGCCTGGGTGTGAGACAGACAACCTCCCACCCTCCATATACCTCCTGGGCCAGGACATGGGAATCTCACAGGCACCCAGCCCCAGGCAGAAGAGGAGGGGGTAGCCTCAGAGGGTGTGGACAGTTCCCTGGTTCCTGGGAGGACTTCAAATGTATTGCAGATGGAAACTCCTTCTACCTCATTTTGAGTCCAACCAACCTACTTGGTGGCTAGAGAAACTTCATGTTTCTATTTATATACATTTTTAAATATACATGTTGTACACAAGATGTATGTTTAAACAACCAGATGCCAGATTTCAAGAGGAACATATCTGGGATTCATTCTGTTCTTGTAAGTGTCACTTAGTCCTGTGTAAGGACAGATTTGCCCTATGTGTAACAGCTACATTTAAAAGTTATGAAATTGTCCTTAGTTTCACAATGGAATATTTCAAAAACAAAATTATCCAATCAAACAATATATGCAAAGATTATTATGTTTTTTTCTTCTCCCTGCACAAGCGTTAAGGATCATCATGTTTGTTCTGTTGTTGAAGTCCTGGAACATAGAGATAAGAGGTAAGTGAGCATCCCCTGGTGGAGAAAGGGAGTCTTTTTCCAGAATCAGTGTTTTCCCTCGCCTTGTGTCCACTGGAAATCACTCAACACAAACTGCTGGTGATTCAGTACAATCAGACAAGCAAGCAAACAAAATCATCCATATGCTTGTGCAGCTGCACTTGGTAATTTATGTACAGTAAAGGAATGAGGAAGGAGAAAGTGAAGAATAGAGAAAGAGATACTGGACCAGTCAGACGTGGTGGAACCATATTGCAGTTTTCCACATGAGAATGTCTGCCTGGTCTGTAGGAACAGAGTTCTGGGGTAAAGCAGTGTGTTCTCAGTAGACACTCCCGTCTGCTTCTGGAACACATCGACTGAATCTTTGTCCTCCATTTCCAGTTCTGCAGATGTGTCTGTTTCACTGGTTGGCCCCAAAGTGCAATCTGATCTGTGTCATGGACAAACTCTGCCTTTCACCAAAGGCTTCCACTCATTCACTAACCTCTTCACCATCAACTGCACTCTGGGACCATCCTACCTGCCACCTTCAAATTCATAGGATTCTGCTCTCAGCCTTAACTGGGGCTCTTTCTCTGCCATAGCAGAGCCTGAAGGCTCTTCAGCTGTAGCTTCACGAAAGAGGTCCAGAGTGTGCACCAAACTAGTGACCCAGCAGAGCCCGATGCCACAGGTGGAGGAGGCAGCAGAGCCTTACTTGGTGTTTTTATCACAATCCCTACAGCAACAGCAGCAGCAGCAACAACAATCACAACCACTATTTCTACTTGTGATAATAATGATCACACTTAGAATAATGATGAATAACAATAATAGTAATTGCTGACATGTTCAGTTTATATGTAGATTTTTTATTTGTAATGTTCTATGCTTTACATTTAGTAATATAGAAGTTAATTGTGTCATAAATGTCAGGACCCCAAAACACCCCATTTAATGAATGACTCTCACCTATGGACCTATGGCTGCCTACCTGCTAGTGCAGGTCCTCTCACCACTCTACCTTGGAGCTTTGATCTGTCTGGTCAACCTTCTAGGATGATGAAGTAGCTGAAGCACTCATATGATCTGATTGAGGTCTTGGCAAACAGCTTGACTTGTTAGAAATCGAAGGCTGACTTTAATACGTATTCAGCTGTTTGGCTAAATTGAGGCAGGAGAAAATGTCTTCTCGGCAGATCTACCTTTGTGTCTCTTGCTTTCAGAGTAAAAGGTTGTTTCAGGCACAGTAGTTTGATTTAGTTTGTGCTAAAAATCATAAACAGCCTACAAATACTGAATGGGGATAAAAAAAATTTGCACACATGTTCCTGCATTATATGTGTTTTCAGATCTCTCCTATGATAAGAAATTGAAAAGTTATGCCTTGATTTTTTAAACTCAGCAGTCAGCCATTTTCACAAATTAATTTAAATGAAAAAGTTATGCCTTGATTTTTAAAACTCAGCCATCAGCCATTTCCCCAAGTTAATCTAAATGTTTCCAAGACATTTCAGAAGCATTCTCTGGTGGGGATTACTCCTAATTGTGAAGAATCCTACTAGAAGGATGAGCATCTCAAAAGAACCTTTATTCTATTGCAGAAGAGTCAGTCTTCAGGATCTCAAAGGCCTAGGGAAGCTGCTTGAGTTGTAAGGTCTATGGAGGTACATGGGCTTTGGAGTCAGGCAAAGTTGATCCTGAGTCCCTGTCCAGCCACTTAATAGCTGTAGCGCTTTGGATAAGTTCCTTGACTTGGAACAGTTATGTAAACCTTGTTGTAAGAAGAGGCAGAATGATACTGATTGCCAAAATTGCAGCAATTCTGCATCCCCTCTCGTTTCCATGCCCTTTGGAATATGCTTTTTACAGCTGCTCCAACAGACAGGCAGAATCTGTTTCCTGATGCTTGGATCTGGGCTGGCCTTATTTACTCTGGGCAATGGAAAGCTATGAATATGGCAGTGTGAAAGTTTGGGGTCTAGGGACAAAAGCCCTTGAACGCTTCTACTTTTTCTTTTATAACCCTGCCATCTCCATGACAACAAGCACACGTTAGCCTGCTGGAGGATGAGATCCCATTGGGGAGGAAAACCAAGGTGCCCCAGCTGACAGCCAGCCCACACCCAGAAGCAGAGCCACTTAGTCAACCAGCAGCTGACCACACATGCCTGAAGGAGCCCAGCTGAGACCAGAAAAATGGCCCAGTTGAGTCCAGCCTAAATGACTGACCATCCCAATTATGAGCTAATAAGGTTTAGGGTGGTTTATTATGCAGCATTAGCTAACTGATACATACACCCATGCAGTCAGGATGCCAGGATTCAAATGACAGGTTGGTTACTACTTGTTGTTACCTGGCAAACAGAAGGCACTGTGTAAGGTATTGATTTGCTTTTCCCTTTATTTAAAGGGGGGCCTCTTGTTGGATAGGGATAAATTACATAGAAATGCATGTTGACATGCTGGGTGCTTAAACTCACACAGTCCCCACGCTCATAGCAGGCCATAGCCTAATCATCAGGGCCAAGGGCAAATTGCAAAATAAAAAGTTTGCCTTTATTCCCTCCACATCCAAACTTTGGAGGTCAAGAGGCTGTTGACAGATCTGAAGTCCAGGGTTTCCTCCTGAAGCCCCACGCTCTTGGTTCACTGTCTGACCTTTGGAAGGGTGAGGGAGCCCTGCCCAGAAGCAGGTGGGCAGCAGTGGTCCACCTGTGGACACCTCTTGCCTGCAGCCCTGGCTCTGTCACTGGGTACTGCCTCTCCCACCCTTAGGCGAGAGGAAAGAGATGGGCAGGATGAAGGTGTTCGCTCTCATCTGGCAGGAAAGGGGGTCCAGAACCTCGACTTCCCAGAGGTTAGACGCGCAAGTGCCCTCAGAGCTGCTCTTCAGTGCTGAAGCCACTGCCTACGTGGGCCTGCTGAGCTCTTTGCATGGGGCTGGTTGGAACTGAGATGTGCTAGAAGTTTAAATATGGAGTGACTTTACAAGATTTAGTACCCCAAATTTAAGAAGCATTTTCTGATGGTCTTCATTAATAATTTCATATTGCTCACATATATAAGTGATAATATTTTGGATACATCAGGTTAAGGTATTACCATGAATTTCACCTGTTTTCCTTTCATGATGCCACTAGACTACTGTAAATGACACATGCGGCTCACATTTTATTCCTATCGGACATTTCTGACTTAGAGGACTCCGTCTCTTTTCAAATCTCATGCTGCCTCCTCAAGGGACCAGAGGCCATAAAGGTTATGAAATCTGAAATTTTAAAAGAATCGTTATTATATAATCTTCAATTTTACATATTACATATATTACTCATAAACTGATATAACCTTATGAGCAAAGTTAAATGCCAACGTCCAGGGCAGCCCCAGGTCCCAGCACAGGGAGTCAGCCCTGCCTGAAAAGGACTGCAGACAATCATTCATTCAGGCCTCATTCAGCCGCACCTATGGTCGCATCTCCTGTCACTCAGGGGGCAAGGGGGCGGGACCTGGAGCCCTACCCAATCAGCGGCGCCGTTGTCGAGCCTGTCCAATCAGGGGCGCAGCCGAAAAAGGGGGCGCACTTCTTGAGTTCTGGGCTGGGTTTTTCCTCTCCCAGGTGCGCTTCCCTGCTTGATCTGTGTTTCTGCTCTTTCTCCTTCATTCCGCAGCCTCCTTTGCCCTGTGACCTGCCAGGTACTGGAAGGTCCCTAGAGAGGATACCGGGACGCTCCTGAAGCCGCGAGATGGTGAGTCTGCCTAGCTTCCCGAGACGCGGCAGGGGTCGGCTGGAACCCGGGCCTCCCCTTGGCGGCTCCGGAGTTGGGGGGCCCGGAGTCTCCTCGGTCGCATGGTGCAGCTCGGCCGGCAGCTGGAACCCCGAGCGTCTGGTCTCGTCCCGTCCCTGCGCGGCGACCTTGGCCCTGCCCTGAGCGCTCTCCGGGCAGTTTCGCGCCGGTAGCCGCGTGTCTCCCGGCGTTGTGCGGTGATGACGGGAGGGGCCTTACGGGAGAACCCCGGCTCAGGGTTCGGGCGTGGAAGGAGCTGTGGTCCGTGGGGTCCGTAGTCCTTTCTTTTGTTAAAAATTAAACTGAGGTTTGGTTAAAACGTTAAATATTTTATTTGAGCAAATAACGACTCGTGAATCAGGAAGCCACAACCATGGATTGTGGTTTGGGGTCCACCGGAGGGGCTTGAACGAAAGGGTTTTATAAGGTGCATGAGGAGGCAAAGCCAATTCAGTAATTGATTGGCTACAGTTATGTAGTCCCCTTATTAGAACTGTCCAGGCGGAAATTCCCTGATTATGTAATCAAAGGTTAATCGGTGGTTTGTGGTTGGTTAAGATTGTTTTGTTTTCCTTTAAATTATTTCTAAGAAATGCATGAGTTACGTTTTGGTTTTCTTAGGTAGAAACCCAGGGCCCTACAGCCACTTCAGTCAATTGCCTCCCATTTAATTATTTTAACACTCCACAGGGGGACTGATTTTCCCTGCATTTTCCGCATGTATGGCAAGCAGGGTCTCAAATCCACCACCCTGTTCCCCCAACCTAATTCTTCTAAGGCTTGCAGTAAAATTCTAAATTTTCACTTCCTTCCCCTGATTCTCAGCTGCCAGCTTCCCCTCTGCAATTCACAACGTTATCAACCATTTGCTCTTTATTGTAGATTTCAAGCAGATGCAGCCTGACCATTAGGGTCAAGGCCAAATTGCAAAAAAAGAAGTTTGCCTTTATTCTACTCCATCCACATCTAAACTTTGGAGGTCAAGGCTATGGACAGATCAGAAGATGTAGTTCCCTCCTCCTGGGGCTCCACATCCCTCATTCACTGATCTCTGGGAAGGAGGATGGTCAGCAGGTGGGCAGCAATAGTCTACCTGTAGACACTTTCACTTAGGCCTTGAAGGATGAGTCAGCATTTGCCAGACAGACTGAGATGTCAGGGGCAGCACGGAAAAGCACAGAGGTGGGAGGGCAGGTTTCAGGTATTCTCAGGCTTCTGTAGTTTGGGGAATGTAGACCTCAGTGGAGGAGCTGGCAGGAGCTGCGGTTGCCATTAGGCTGGTGCCTGAGAGAACTGGCTTAAGAAGCTTGATTTTAGCTGGGCGTGGTGCCTCACGCCTGTGATCTCAGCACTTTGGTAGGCCTAGGCAGGCGGATCACCTGAGCTCAGGACCAGCCTGGCCAACATGACCCTGTCTCTACTAAAAATACAAAAATTAGCTAGGCGTGGTGGCACGCACCTATCCCAGCTACTTGGGAGGCTGAGACAGGAGAATCTCTTGAACCCAGGAGGCGGAGGTTTCAGTGAGCCGAGATTGCACCACTACACTGCAGCCTAGGCGACAGAGCAAGACTCCGTTTAAAAAAAAAAAAAAAAAAAAAAAAGCAGCTTGGTTTTGTGAGCAGTGTGCTTCTTAGAAGGGTTCCAGGTGGCATTCTTGAAATAGGAGAAGGGAGATTGAGGTTAGGTGACTAGATAAGTGTTGGGGTCCTTCACAGAGCAGAGATCAGTTTGTGGAGGAAGATGAATTTCATCCCTGCAGGATGGGCCTTCCATGATACTGAAGGGAGAGCCACATGTTAATGCCCGGGAGACAGCTGTCTCCTTGGTCTGAAAGGCCTGATCGAGGCCAGGATTGGCTATGAGAGCTGGGAAATGGGAGCTCCTTTGAAGTCATGGGAGAGGGTGAAGTGAGAATGAGGAGAGGCTCGGGGGGTCCAACACTCCCAGCTCAGGACTGGAGGAAGAGGATGGAGCTGGAGAGGGAGGGACGAGGGTATGGCATTGGTCAGGGAGGAGGAGAGGAAATGAGAAGTGGTCTGGGTGCTGCTGAGTGGATCGATGCACCTGGGCTGGAGAAGCCCCTGGGGCTTGGCCCTGAGGGTGGCCTTGGTGATGTGGGGCAAGTGGTTTGGACAGTGAGCTCAGGTGGAAGCCACACTGTGGTGGGCGGAGGAGCAGTCGAGGAGGGAGGCACAGGATGTGAAAGGGAGAAGGCAGCAGCCTGCAGGTGCGCTGAGGGTGAGCTGGGACTGTGGAGCCAAGGCTCGGGAGGGCACGTGGACACAGTTCCATACGACTTGTGCCCACCCAGGTGGGGTGAGGCAGACAGTCCTCCCTCACCAGCAATGCCCATCCGACTCGGTGCGTTTCTTGTCACCCCCAGAGCCACCATCACTCATGTTCTTGAATGGGAACTGCCTGGAAAGCCTGAAGAAGGAGGAGCCTGAAGGAGGAAGGAGGAGGCTGCGCCATCCCGGGAACATGGGCTGGATGAGGCCAAGCCAGGAGATGACACCACTGAATAGAAGTCACTATTCAGGATTTGGGCTTTTCTGTGGAGATCCTGGCCCCGAGATCGAACCCTTCTCCCTGCAGGTACCATGGAGGAGGAGAGCTGGGGGCCAGGGCTTGAGCCGGCTGGGGAGGATGAGGCTGGAAAACCCAACCTTGCCCTGGCTCCTCCTGGCCCTGTGCTGTAGGCAGGAAATGGAGGACCCTGGGCCCTGCCTGGGGTCACTCTGCTAACATAGTGGACTTGGGAATGGAGTACGGGTTCAGTTACTGCCTTATTGCTAGAGGACAGCTACCAGCTGGGCCTACCAGCCCTGTTTAGGGAGAGGAGTGGGAGCGGGTGGGTAATGTCAGGTCCAGGGTGCCCCAGCCTCTTGCTCTGTGCCCTCAGGCAAGTCACCTCTCTCTGGGCCATGACCTTACCATCTGTCACCAGGGCCTGGGGGGTGGTATTGGGTGTTCGCCAAGGACAGAGCAAACCTGGAGGACTTCCAGGCTGGTAACTTGGTGGGGAGCCGGGCAAGGCCCTCTCATGTCCTCTCTGCTCACAGGCTTGGGCCCTGGAGCACCCCTTCAGGAAGGAAAAGGCCATTTGCCCTGGGGCGCTCAGCCCTTGGCACTAGGCAAGGGCAAGAGCAAGCCTGTCTTTCTTCCCTTTCTTCCAACTCCCTCTCCTCTGCTCGGGGGTTGCTCTTAGGCTGCAGGAAGAGTCAGTGGGGCCAGGCTCTGTCCTGCACTTGGGCACACAGGTGCCAATGGGCAGGCTGTATATGGATGGCCTGGAATGTAAAAGCCCAAAAGTGGGAAACTGAGTATTCGAGACATTTATTCTCAGGACCCAGGTGTTTGGGGCTGGGGAAAGGGGTATGTCCCTGCTCCCTACCATGTGGCCTCTCACCAGGGTGGTCCAGGCCTTCTCCCTGGCAGGTATCGCCGCAGGAGATGGTGCTGGAGATCCACCGGGTGTTCATGGACCATGAATACCCATGTCCCCGCCTCACTTCTCACTGCACCCGGGTGGCAGCACACTGGACCACCTCTCAGAGCTGCGCAGCATGGCGGGCCTGCAGGCGGGCTTGGTGCTCCACATGGTGGAAGGTTGGCCCGGAAGTTGGGCTGCCTGCCCAGGGAGGGCCCCTGTGAACAGGGCCAGGCAACACTTCACTGCCCCAGCTGGGGCCTGTGTGTGACAGACGAGCTTGTGGAGGCGGGACTGGAGCACAGGTCTGCTCTTCAGGGCATCATACCTGCATCTCTAACTTCATGGCCTGGGGTGAAAAAACAGTTGAAATTCTGAAAAGAAAGCCAGGCAGTACGAAGCTAGGGCTTGGAATCAGCCCGATTAAATTCTGAAAAGATGAGCGCTTAGTCTCCTAAAGAAACTAAAAAGTTTTACAGTCCTTGAGTGGGGAAGTCGGCTCCAAGCAGCACCATCGGCTGGTGTGGTGAGCCTGGCTTGGTTGCCAAATAAAAGCTTCCATAGACTCAAGTTCCCTGGGCGAAGCACTCAGGTTCCCGAGGCCTGATTATGAAGAGCAACTGTGGAAAAGGTCTGTACCTCAAGGGGGCCCACAGTTCATTACAACCTCTCCCCTCCCCCAAAACAATGACCATTAAAATCCCATGAAACTCTGTGGGGGCGTTGAATTTGGCAGCCCTAGAAAGTTCTCAGGCCACCCCTGCATGAAGGCTGCCCCAGGAGAGCTGGGCGAGGCTGCAGAGGCCCCGCAGTGCCAAAAGCCCTGCCCACCCGACACACTAGCACACAAAAAGCAGGAGGCTTTGTGGGCTCCCCAAGGCCTGTGTGTGCTTCAGAAGCACTGGCAGGAGGTGCTTTGCAAGCAAGGATTCTTGCCCTCAGCCAGCCAGGGTGTGTGTGTGTGTGTGTGTGTGTGTGTATAGGTACGCGTGCGAACACATGTGTGTATTGAAACCAAAATATAGCTTATGTGTCCATAGCAGAATTTGAAAATGGAAGCCTAAAGTTGAAAATTAAAATCATCCATGAAGCTTCCTTGCCAACTATTTTCTGAGCTGGGTGGGTTGTTCTAGGATGCAGGGCCCTGGGAGCACCTGCCCCTCTCCTGTTCCTGACAGAGCCCTGCACAGTGCACGAGGCCCGAGGTGACGAGTGCCACATCTGAGACTGCTCAGGAGCCTGGATCCAGCTGATGCAGCTCCTTGTCCTTCCTGAGCGTCTTCACTGACAGTGGCCTGGGAGGTGCAGAGGCATTGGGGCCAGAGATTGGGCAGGGGGCAGAGGGGCAGAAGCAAGGAGGTCAGAGGCTGATGAAGGGGGCTCAAGGCCAGGCCTTTCCACCTGGAGGAGCCTGGGCCTGAGGAACCCAAACCAGGGCCACAGTTAGAGGTAGCTGGCCCTGGGTGCTCGTGTGCCGACCACCAGCCTCGGGTCCCACAGACGGCAGGAGCAGAAAGGCTTGGAGATGGACCCCACCGACTGCACACCACCCAAGCACATCCTGCTCGGAAACCTGGAACAGCCACTGTGTGCCCTGCAGCCCCAGAACGGTGACTAAAAGGTGGGACTCCAGGGAGGAACAAGGAAGAGGGTCCCCGGGCGGGTGGAGGGCCACACACCAGGAGGCCTGGCCCATTCATGCTTGGCCATTCCTGCAGTCCCTGAAAGTGCTCGCCTTGAGCGGCTGGCACCTGTCCCCTGGGAACTGCAAGAGACTCCAGGTCTCCCTCTAGGGAGCTGTGAGCCAGCTCTGGCGAGAGCAGCCCTGGCAGCGGCGCCCATGTGCTTCTGACTCGCCTTTCGGGGCAGCATCTCAGGGCCAGGAAAACCCGGAGCAGGTGAGGACTTTGATGAAGAAGGAGCCTGTGGCAGGGTCCTGAGACTGGTGGGCGGCCCCATCTGCCTTTCCCCTGCCTGCCATGGGGTCCAGTATGCCCGTTCAAGAGGGGCCACCTCATTCCAGGTGTGCAGCTGGATGGCCCCTGTGACGGAGCACACTGTGGACTGCACGTGTGGAGAGGCGCCTGCACCTCGAGGCTGGGCTGTGAGGAGCACATTCCTGCACAGGGGCCTGTGACCTGGCCCGGTCCTCACTGGGAACCCCCTTCCTTCCTGGGTGCCAGGTGGGGTTCTCTACACTTCCCTGAGGCTCCCCGCGGGTCTGTTCATTGGGGACTCTGGGGCTGTCTCTGGGGAGAGAGGAGAAGGGACTTCCCAGGGCAGGTTGCAGTGCACAGGCTGAGCCCATGTCTCCCTCCCTGGTCCCTCTGCAGCCCCAGTACTGGAACGTGGAGCTGCAGATGATGAGGGACCTGCCCTACAGGAACCAACCTGAGCAGCTGCTTCAAGAAAAAGCCATGTTCAAGGTTCTGAAGCCCCTGGTGAATGAGTGACAGCCTCACAGCCTCAGGCCCACCTGTCTCCTGCTGGAATGTTTCTTGTGTACAGCAGGGACGTGAGGGAAACTGGCCTCCCCCATCTTGGTGAGCTGGGCCAGGTGGATGTAGCCTGAGGCTTTTGTGGGCATGGCCTCTCGCCCTCCCAGCCTTGGTCCCTCCCAGGTACCCAGCAACTTCAGAGTGGCAGCCACATGGGGCGTCGGTCAGGGAGGCATGGTCATGGCCATCAGCCCCAGTGAGGAGACCACGCTGCAGATGTTCACGTGGAGCCGCGTCATCTTCAGCCTGGGCTTTGTTGTTAGTGGCCACTACAAGGACTTTGCTGGGGACGTAGCAGCCTCCATAGCGTTCACCAATGACCTGAACGGTTAGCACTGGCACAATGCAGTGGACATGGAGGGTCTGTACACAGCTGGACACGGCAGAGGTGGATGACCGCGGCTACTGGGTCAGGTTCCAGTCCTCACCCCTGGCATCCTGGAGTGGGACCAGGAGCAGAGTGTCATCTGTGGCTCCACTGACTTTGCAAGACAATGGTGTGGCCCCCGTGTTGCCTGGATCTGCTGGAGCATGAGTTGACTGCTCAAGACCCTGCGCCACTGCACGCTCAACCACTGTGACGCGGAGGCGGAGCTCTTCTTGGTTGAGGGCAAGGGCATCACCGGCAACGACAGGTGCCACTATAGTCTCTACCTGCTGAGCCCACTGCCCCGACCTCAGCTCCCTGCCTGTGCCCCACAAGGAGCTGCCAGAGGAGTGCTCCCATGCCAGCTTCCCCTGCACCCATAGGCATAGGTTCTGTCACCTGTGCCAGGAGCTGGTGGATGCCTTCGTGGAGCATAGTTGAGGAGCAGCCCTTTGAGGCTGGGGCTACAGCCAGCTGCACCCTGCTGCAGGCAATGGGCAGCCCGGGTTGTTCTAGGGCTGGGTCGTTGAAGAGAGAAGCTCTGGACAGTGAAGAAGAGCTTGTTCTGGCCACACTCACTAGAGCCCCTTTCCCATCCCCCACCCACCTGCTATCAGGCTCCCAGATGCAGAATCTGGAGCTTTGTGTTGGTTGTAAGTTAGTGAGCAGTGAAACCAGCGACCCAGCTGAGCTGTGCTGTTCTCCTAAGGAGGGTTTGGAAGTTGCTGGGTGGGTTGTGAAGGTCACAGTCCCTGAGTGTTAGTGCTGCTGGTTTTTAGTGCTTAGGAGTTGACCATGTTAAATTTCCCACACCACAAGTAACTCTTTTCCGGAAGCCAGTGGCATTCCCGTCTCTGTTGACAGTCCTGGTCTGAATGTGGACCCCTTCTCCTCCACCTCCATACTCTGGCTGTCTTCTTCCTGTCTGGGGGGATCTGGCAGCCACCACCTTGTTGCTTGGGTTTGTGAGAGCAAAGCTGAGTTCCAGTCGGGCTTGCAGCAGAAGGAATCTGATGCCATCTATAAGGCCCAGGTGGTCTGTGGCAGGGCCGGCGGGTTGAGATGCGCCTGTAGGTTGTGGACAGCTAGTCCTTTCCTGCTTCTGCTCTCTCCCCTGTTTTTGGGTGAGAACCACGAGAAGCAAAGCTCTGAGAACCTCAAGTGCCCGGCCCAGCAGGCTGTGGCCCAGCAGCACACCGTGAATGGGATATACCGGTGGGCTGCAGCGCCAGCATCCTGCCCCTCCAGGTATATCCCTGGGTGGAGCTGGGCCCCTACTCGGCCTGGGTAGGATGAGCCTCACTCACAGTTCATCCCCCCACGGCCCCTCAGTTCACAGCCCCCAGCATGGCCAGCGTCTTGGAGCAGCTCCAGGTCATCAGTGACATCCTCTTCATTCTTCTCAGCTGAGGCCCCTCCATGGCTCCCTACTTAGAAGTTGGCCTTTAGTTTTGTAAGATATGTAATAGGCTGACATGGCTCAAAATTGAAAAGTATAGCCAGTGATGAGAAGTTCTTTGTGAATCCTTCCAGAAATACTCCATGTGATCTTTTTCCCCCTCTTTTTTTTCTTTGGAATTGTGGCATGCCATGGATGAAGGTTATTATTGTTTACTTCATTTAACAATGTATCTTGGTGATCTTGCATTTCAGTTCCTAAGGAGTGGCTTTATTCCTTCCCCGGCTGCCTCTGGTTCCAGTGCAAAGTGTGCCTTAGGAGCAGGCCCTAAGGACTCCCGCGGTGCTGTCACAAGCAGTGCTGCCTTTGGGAGCCCCTAACCTCCTGCCTTTTCTCCCCTCAGTGTGGGAAAGGGGTTTGGTCAGCCAGGGGTGTCAGCAACCCTGTCCCATGCCCACTGTCTACATCTAATCTGGTGGCAGGGAGGCCACAGAGTACAGCGACTGGAACTGGGTGTGAGGGTGAGAGGCAGCCGGGCCCCAGGCCAAGTCAAGTGCATGGAATCCTGACTGTCAGCAATCAGGGATCTTTCTGCTTTTGGGAGGGAAGTACTTGTTACACGCGTCTCACTGAATATGGCACAGAGCTTGATCTGTCCCAAGTGGGAGTTTAACCAGCCTAGAGGGGAGCCCAGGGCCCTGGCCCAGTCTGACACCTACCTCCTCTCCCACCTTCTACTCCCCCAGAAGACTAGGAGAATCTGAAAGCAGAGGTGGTGCAGCACCACTAGTTCCAGGAGTCCAGAAAAACAGGGAAAGGGCATTCTGGGAGGTCGAGGTAGGTGGATCACTTGAGCTCAAGAGTTGGAGACCAGCCTAGGAAACATGACGAAACCCCATTTACAAAAAGCAAAAATTAGCCTGCTGTGGTGGCGCGACCTGTAGTCCCAGCTACTCAGTCGGCTGAGGTGGGGGGATCGCTTGGGCCTGAGAGGTCCAGGCTGCAGTGAGCCATGATTGTGCCACTGCACTCCAGCCTGGGTGATAGAATGAGATCCTGCCTCAAAAAAAACACAAAAAAAACAGCTAGGGCTGGGGACCCTATGGCCACTGAGTCTGAGCCAGCGGGGCCAGAGGAACTGAGCTCCCAGCCCTGTGGCTGCCAAGGATCCTTTTTCCTCGAGCTTGCAGGGATCGAGAGAGAGAGATAGTCGGGGACCCTGATGTTAGAGATGCAGACTCCAGGAGAAGGGGGCATGCTCGCAGGTTAGAGGAAGTGAGCCCCTTTTCCGTGTTCCACCCCCACCATCCTCCTGGGACCCCAGCCTGCATGCCCCCCTAAAAGATTCTTTTGCACTGATTCAGTGAATATACGATGCAAAGGCCTAATTGAAGACCTGTGAATGGCATGTACGGTCCTCAGTTCCCAGCTGTGGGGCCCCTCAGGCTCCCCATATTCCCCTCAGCCTCCCCATCTTACATCAGGGGTGTGGAGTGTGTCCATGGCCACGAGTATTGATCTCTCCCTCCCAGCCTGTACATCACCCTGAGGCAGTTCAGAGTGGATGACATGCAGATGGGTTTCCTCAGCTCATTTGCATGGTTGATGTTATGGCTGCTGCTTTTACTGCCACAACTCCCAGGCCCAACCTGGCTTAATGTCTAAGTTTTAAGCCAAAAAGGATGGGGAGCCAGAGCTTTGTGGCAGGGCTGGGGGCTGGGGTGCACTTTAGTTTTGTGGCAGGATGAAGGCTGCAGTGGTTTTATTCGTCATGATTGGCCTGGCCATAGCTCCAGGCTGAGAGGGACAGGTTTGTCAGTGGTGGTCCCCCAGATGTCCCTGTGCCCAGCCCTGGCCTGTCTGCCCTCAGGCCCAGCAGGAGGTGCTGCCACAGCCTCTGACTGGCCTCCCTACTCCCTGTATCCCAGATGGACAGAACCTTGGGATCTACAGTTGGAATGTATCATTCTCCCCATTTTAACTCAAGCTGCCTGACACAGGGAGGGTGGGGTTGGTAAGGAGCGTGGGGAACCAGAGTTGACATGGATCCTGGGGAAAGGTTACAGACACAGGAGGGCTTGTCACCGCTCTGTGGAGCCCCGCTGCTTCCCACACAGCACCTTCTGCAGAGACTAGCTCTGAGGGTGGCAGGGGACCCCACGGGCCATGGCTGCTGCCTCTCTGCCCCTGTCTGTGCCTGCTGTGGGAGCCTGGACTGGGGGAGGACATTGCTGCCCTGTGAGCCTGAGGGAGGCTCTCTGGCTGTGACCACTACATGGGGCTTTGCAGAGAGCTGCTTATGGATATGGTGTCACCAGACACCTTGTTTCAGAGGGAGTGGGCATCAGCTAGCAAGTGAAGCACCCCCACAACTTCTCAGGAACTGTTTCTCATTTTTAAACCATCATGTCTTCATTTCACATTGGAATAAAGTGAGGTTTTGAAACCTGCTTCCCCAGCCTCTGGATTGTGAGGGCTGTTGTCCCGCAGGTTACCAGGAGAGGCATATGTATAAATTAGCTCAAATTCAAGGTTATGCTTGTAATGTCACCTGAGTGGAAGGTAAGAGGGTGGAGTCACAGGCACTCAGCTGGGATTTGCCTGGCACACTCACTAGACTCATGGGATTGTGGCTCAGGTGAACATCCCCTGTCATTGGAGGAAAAAGGCTGGAGTGCAGGGCAGGTGGGGGATGGGTGCTAGGCTGTGGGGTCAGGCCCTGGGCATGGTGGACCTGTTAGGTCACTGAGCATCTGGGCACCTGCTCCTGTCCCTTCAGTTGAAGTGAGGTTGGCAGCACTCCCCAGAAGGCGTGCAGTGCTGGGAGAGTGGAGGAGGGTCTGATGTTTCCCATCCTGTGGCAGGGTTTAGAGCTCACTAGACGCTTGTGGAGAGCTAATGACATGGGAAGAAGGCAGCCCGCCTTGATGGACCGTAGGGATAGAGCCTGCGATGTGAGAAGCGGGTGTGTGGAGGCGGCCTGTCTACAAGAGGGAAGTTTAAGGCTCATTGCAGTGGCACCATCTCAGCTCACTGCAGCTGGTGGCTGATGCCAGGCCATCCCTCTCCAGAGCACGGAGGCCCTCGGCCTCATGTATAATTGAATGCCTTTTGGGACGCTTGGATCGTCCTTTATTTCTTGCAAATTCAGAGAAGAAAAAAAAATTACAATCCTCATGTCCATTAGTTTCCCTGACCCCGAGATTTTAAGTGACACCGAAGGGAAGCCTCCATTACCTTGGCCATTGAAGCCTCCTGCGTGCTCCCCAAAACCCCCAGCAGTTCCCTCTGCAGTCCCACAGTTATGTCCTGAGCAGCGGGGTACCCTGTGATGAGAGGTGCTAAGGGATGGGATGAAGGTCTTTCTTGTGTTATTAGAACGGTTAAAAAGTTGTTTTAAAGGTGTCCAAATGCCCTCCTTCTTAAACCTAATTAGATAATAAGATGCCTTATACAAGCAAAACCAGGTACGGGAAAGCAAGTGCATTTCAAGTCCCAGCTCGCCCCTTAAATTAGCTGTAATACTCTCAGCAGGCGGCCCCACCTCAATGAGCCTGTCTCCCATTCAAAAACAGAACTAATGAGGGGGCGAGGCCTGGAGCTTTACCCAATCAGTGGCGTTGGAGTGGAAATCGTCCAATCGGGAGCAGCCGGAGAGCAGGGGCCGCTTCTGGGATTTGGCGGGGGCCTTTGTTGACTCCAGTGAGAGCTGGGTCTCTCCACCAGGGTTCCGAGTCCTTCCACCTGGGAGGCCCAGGCGGCTTCGCGTTCTGAGAATAGACGGAACCTCTGTTGCTCTGTGACCTGCAGGCACTGGTAGCTCCGTAGCTAAGACGCCAGGACATCCCGGAAGCTGGGAAATGGTGAATGTGCCAGGTCGGGGGTCCCCAGAGGAGGGAGAGGGGCGGTCGGAAGCGGCGGGAACCCGCTTTGGGGGCACCCGGGCCTCCCCAAGGTCAGCTCCGTGGTGTGGGCCCCGGGTTCCCGCGGGCGCAACTCGGCCCTTGGTTTCCTCCGCCGCAAGATGGCGGCCGGGTCGGCAGCCGGGACCCAGCGCGTCCGGTCCGGTCCCGACGCCGCAGAGCGACACCTGGCCCTGGCAGGAGCCGTCTTTGGGCAGCTCTGTGCTGCAGCCCCGCGTCTCCTCAGATTGTGCGGTGAAAACGTGAGGGTCTCAGGGGACACCCCGGGTCGGTGTGTGATTCGTGTGTGGGAAGATACTGTGCCCCACGGTGTCCCAGTCTCCTTTTTCCTCTTACAAATTAAAGGGACTCACCCTTAAAGCGTGGAAGGGTTTATTTGGGCAAACAGCGATTGGTGAAATGGGAAGCCTGCCGCCGTGGTTTGTGATTTAGGGTCCTCTGGAGCGGCGATTTCAAAATCCCAGGGCTTAGCTTGGAAATGCTGCTGGGGAAAAGAAACGGGCAATCTCTCTTCCACTATGGCTGTCTAAAACGAATACATTTCCACAGAAGGTGTGCTGGATTAATTGGTCAATTAGAAACATTCATTAAAACGTCAGGGCCTCTCTTTTGCAGTGGAGGATTTGTGACAGTGGATATCTCTGTTCCATATTCTACTGCTATCTGGATGTCCGAGTTTAATGCCAGATTTTATGAGACAGAACTTGGCACCTCCTAGAAGTGTTCACAGATACTAAATTATCTGCTGTTATGGAAATAATTAAATGACATGTTTCTTGCCCGAAAGAGGTATTGTGGCCTTACCTGTTGAAGTATAAAGTATAAGTGCCTTACCGTTTCCTTCCTTTCTATAAAAACGGTGTTTGAGTGATTTATGCTGTTTTCCTGAAACCTGTTAGGTCACAGAACATCTAACTGGCTGGGCACCTGCCCCTGTCCCTTCAGTTGAAGTAGGATTGGCAGCACTCCCCAGAAGGCGTGCAGTGCCAGGAGAGTGGAAGAAGGTCTGACAAACGTCAGAGGTCCTCCTGCGGTAGGTTTTAGAGCTCGCTCCATGCTTGTGGAGAGCTGATGAGATGAGAAGAAGGCATCCCACCTTGATGGACCTGAGAGACAGAGCCTGCGAAGTGAGAAGCGGGCCTGTGGAATAACCCTGACAAGGCACAGAAGACCTCAGTCTTACTTGAGCCTGCAAAAGGAGGTCATTGAAGGCCCAGTTAATTCTTCTTGGGGAGCGCCCCCTTCAGGTGTCCCTGAGGTTTACAGCAGCCATGGAGGGAGCCCTTTGTACTGGGAGAAGCTGCAGAGTTCTGGAAAGCAGGGGATTCACAGGCTGATGTGGTGGAGGTTGGGCTGGAAGGGAGACTGGGAAGCTCTTTCTGAGGGTGGAATTGTTAGTGTCCTGGAGCTGTTTCTTGACTTTGTCAAATAAAACATCTGGATATAGGGAAGAAGTTCCTTAATTCTAAAGGAGTATTGCAAGAGGAGGAAGGCACCAGCTGTAAGATATTTGTGGATCTCACAGTTGAAGCAGAAAAGGCCTTTCTTTCATAGGGAGGAGCAAACATGATTAAAGGTGGGAGGGGAAAGGCACGACTCTGAGGCAAAATCAGATCCCTGATCAGAGAATGTTTCACCCTGAAGTCAGCCTGTTCTTGGGAGAGGCATAAAGAGGGGTTGAATGTTGGCTCAGGCTGTGGGTGGGACAAAGCTCAGGGACCTGGAGAAGGGGAGAAACTTCAGCAAGCTTGGTTAACACATATTTTGTTTTGACCACGGAAGACAAAACTCTTTATTTAATTGCTTATTTTGGGGGAAAAATGAAATAGGAGAGTCTGTGGCTTTGTGATACCTAAAACAGGGAGCATCATCTAAGTCATAACGGGAAGAGGATTCTTTGCAGTAAACTGCTCTTGCAGAACACAAAGGAAGGGGGATTTCTTTCATCACAGCTGCTTCCCAGGGTTAACCACCAACCCCATCTTTTCCCCATTCCTTTCTCTTGCCCTACACATCCCTTCCATTAGGCTGAGTTGTATCTTTTATAATAAACTGGCCAGTGCAATTACAGTCTTTGCTGAGTTCTGTGAGTCCTTGTATAAAATTAATGAACTTGAGTAGCGTATTATGGGAGGCCCTAACTTATAGGCAATAGCTCAGAAGTATAGATGGACCCTGGGGAATTGTGACTGGCATCTGTAGAGGGGGCAGTGTTGTGGCACTGAAGTCTGAACTTGTGGGGTCTGTGCTGCCTCTGGGTGGTGTCAGAACTGAGTTGTTGGACAACCAGTTGGTGTTGGAGAATTGGCTGGTGTTCAGCAAACTCCACACATTTATTGTCGGAAAAAAGATAGCACAGGGACCTGGGCTGGAGAGAGACTCTGGGTGTCTCCAGGAAGGGAGGCTCTATTCTCCTGCACACAGGGTGTCACCCTACACATTGTCCTGTTATTGCACATCTCCTCCCAGGGAGAGAGGCGACTGAGGCTAGAAAGGGAAGAAGTTCTGAGAACAGACCCCTGCCCCCACTGTGCTGCTACCATATAATTCCCACCCACTCTGAACACACCCACTAGGCACTGACGTGGCCACGCCCCTTTCAGGACAAGACTTGATCCTCAGGAATTGTGCCCGTAGCACCTTTGCTCCCAGAGTTTCCTGCCAAAATTCCCATACAAGTGCCTAGAGGACTCCTGGCTCATCCTTGTCCCCAGACCCTGAAACTGCAGCAGCAGCCTAGTCCCTCCATCAACCTAGGCTTGTGGACTACCCGATCATAGTCTCATCTGCCTGCATGGACACAGGAATAAGTCAGAGCCCCGACTAGGCCAGTATCTGTAGCACAAACCAGTCCTTCCACCAATTCTGCACTGCCCCCTACTTGAGAGTTCTTAGTAGCACCTTCCCTTCTGCCCTTTAACTTCCCCACAGACCCTGACAGGGTCTCACTCTGTTGCCCAGGCTGGAGTGCAGTGGCAGGATCATGCAACCTTGACTTCCCTGGGTTCAGGTGATCCTCCCACCTCAGACTCCCAAATCGCTGGGACTAGAGGCATGTGCCCCCCGACACCTGGCTAATTTTTGTAATTTTTGTAGAGACAGGGAGAGTCTCACTATGTTGCCCAGGCTCGTCACAAACTCCTGGGCTCAAGTGATCCACTCGCCTCCCAAAGTGCTGGGATTACAGGTGTGAGCCACCATGCCTGATCCACAAACCCCTTTTTTACGTGCACGCAGTGTGTCCAAGCCCAATCCTCAGGTGCCTGAATCCAGCGCCTGCTGGAATTCAGATGTCCATGAATTCAAGATTGTGGCCCTAGATCTTGCAGTTGTGAGAACAAGTACAAATTAAAAATATATGACTTAACCCTTCTTGAAAATAAGGGAAGACATGTTTCTCTCCTTCCTTTTCTTGAATCATTTACTTTAGAGAGTTTTTATATGTAAATTTTTTTCTGCCTTTTGGAAGTATATCTAAATCATTATAACAGCTAAACAGATCTTTTGTCTCTTGTCAATC